TCAATAATATATTGTAATGAAGAAGAAGAGGCAGTGAACATAATCATAAATGCAGATGTTGCAGTTGCTACCTGTGGGAGAACTCCAATTTCAAGTAATATTGGTCCAATTACCATACCACCACCAATTCCAAGATATGCAGCACTAACTCCAGCAAAGAATGCACCAATTGGAATAATTAAACAATTCTTTACTGTCCATTGAACTTCTCCTTCAACCTCTTCTCCACGTTGTCTCCACCATAAAAATATTCCAACAATAATAGTCACAGTTAGCATTAATGGTCCCCCAATTACAGTTAAAATCCAATACCAAGGTGTTCCACATTCAATTCCAACAATACTATCCATTTTTTCTCCTCCTTTAAGAATAACAATAAAGAACATAACTGCCCAAACAATAATTAATATTCCAACTGACAAGACTGCTTTTATTATTTCTCTCTTTAATAACGTTTTCTCTTCTACTATTTTGGCTTGTTGTTGTGCCTCTTGACTCTCGTCTTGAGGCAGTAATTTTGGCCCAGTTCCTTGTTCATCATCTTCTTCTTGAATTCTTTCATCTACAATAACAGCATTATTTCCATTTTCTGATGGTTTCATATCATCATTGTCATTATCGGTAATATCTGGTTTTGATGTTTCAACAAGTTCAGTAGCTTTAGTAGCATCTCTTTTCTCATTTTCATTTTTCCATTGTTTAATAGCTTTAGCAAAAGTTTTATAAGAAGTGAATCCAAGTAAAATAACTAACACAATAATAATTAACCAACTAGGAGATATAATATTGAATATTACCCCAATCATAGTTCCATAAATTGTTAATGGTTCAACCATTAGCGCAGTTGGATAACTAATCAATGGCTTATAACGAACAATTGGATGTCTCTTCATCCAAAGAATTAGAAACCCACCACAAGCAACACCAAATGTAGTTATTTTAGACAAAGGAATTGCTTGATGAGGGTCCATTTGAAGAATCAATACAAAAATTACTAAATAGAAACAACCACCTCCAATACCTGAGCCAGCACACAACACTGCAAAAAATAATGAACCGATGGATCCAACAATCAACTTCCAATCAAATACAAATGTTGATTCCATTATTTCAATATTCTTGATGAATTAAGTTCTTTTATTTTAAAGTATTTCCACTGTCTCTTTCGATATTTCTTTTTCAAAAACTGTATCTTTCCTTCCAAATCATATAATCTACAAGAAAATTGTACTTTTTCGGGGATTTCTTCTAATAATTTGTATAACTAACAATTTTTAACCCTATTAGGGGGTTTTCTTTGTTTAATGAACTTATTTAATAAAATAACACCATAAAAAATAAAATGATATTTTGTACCATAAATATCTCATCTAAAAACTAATTAAAGTTAAATCTTGAATAAATTCATTTTCCATTTGTCATAATTTTTTTATTTTGAATAATGACATTAGTCTTAACTATAAAATTATTTTTATCCATTCTTTATCAAAAATATATGTCTTATGCTTAAATTGGAGCAAATACATACCAAATTAACATTCTCAGATTGGAAAACTACAAAAGAACTTTTCAATGTATAAGTCGTTTAATGTCAACAAAAAATACTTGTAGACTGCCTAAAACCAGAAGGTAATTTATCTTCTTATAACTCTAGAATGGGCAGTCTTCTTTTAATGAGTGATAGTGATGTATCTGAAGAAATTATATGTACTTTAAATCGTGGTCTATGTCTCCAATCAGTAGAAGTTTTGAGAAATGATACAATTAATATTCTTCAAGGTCTCTCTCAACATATTTTCTCTGAAACACCTAAAATACAAATAACCCAGAAACCATCTCCTTTTAACGTTTAATTATTAGTTTTGTTTTTAATATGTCATAATTCAGAGTTAAAATTTTTGGCTTCAAAAAAACAAACATAAAACATTAATCATCACTAAATTTTTTTATATATTAACTCATAGCAGTTTTAATATAAACTAACATTTTTTTTCTTAAATAATAAAGAAAAAAAAATTTCGTGTTGTGATTAAATAAGTTATTGATGAACAATTTTAGTATGAATAACTTATCAAAAAAAGTAATGTTATTTGAAGTAAAAAATGAATAGTCTTTTATTTGGCTAAACACTATATGAGTTACTTTCTTAATAGTTTAATTAGATAAATTTATTATTTAATTTGTGTAGATAATAGAATTGTACCAATTATATGATAAGGTCAATATGAATATTATTTTGTAGTTTTAAAAAAAAAACTTCTTTATATCTCTTTTTTTTATATCAAAATAACTGTTTTATCTCTTAATTTATATTAAAGCATTACTTAAATATAAAGTCCTAAAAAGAATAGTTGATGATTTCTTATCAGTGATAGTCTTTAATAATATAACATATAATCATTTATTCGATCATATTTGTATTTAATGATAATTAAATGAATCTAGAATAGAATAATATAACAAACTCTTGTGTAAATATAATTAAGAATCCTTAAAAGATGTTGTTAAACAAAATACTATAAAAAAAAAAGAAATAATTATTCACTTCAGTAGAATCATGTTGCTGTTCTAAATACTTTTAGATTGAAGTAGCAATTAATTAATGTTGAAAAGTCCATTGAAGTTTGTAGTCATTATTATATTTAGGTTCATATGAAAAAAAAATTAAGAAAATATTCAAATGAAATAATAAAATGAAATAGAATGAAGGAAATAAATACAAATGGAATAAAACAGTAGGACAAATCATTTTAACTATTATTAATCAAGATATTATTATGTTATAAAAAATAAACCAAAAGAATTTTGTTGTAAATTGAAATTTTTTAAGTATTACATCAGTAAACTAGAGTCGTTGAATTATTTAGGAATATAAAATGATAGGTGAGTTGGCATTAGACAAATAAACAGTTTAAATCACATCCAATTATAATTCTAATAGTACTAAATAATAACAGTACAATAGAATAGATTTACTGTAAAAGAATAAAAAGATGTGCAAATATAAAAAGTGAATAGAATGAAATAGGATGAGTTTGATATAAGGTTAAAGAAGAGATTTAATGAAAAACAAGAATAAGAATAAAAAAAAAGAAATAGTATAAATAACAAAAAAAAGAAAAGTTAAAAAAAAATTAGGGTTGAACTAAAAAGAAGGGGCAATGGCAACTCAAAAGAGTGAAGTCACCATCAGAACAAGAAATCTGATTGTTAATCCATTACTTTGCAGAAAGCAAGTAGTTGTTGATATTTATCATCCAGGAATTGTTCAACCAAAATTCACCGAAATTAAAGAAAAGCTTGCTAAAATGTACAAGGTAAAAGATGTTCAAACTATTGTTCTTAATGGATTTGTCACTAAGTATGGAGGTGGAAAGACATCAGGATTTGCATTAATTTATGACACACTCTCAGCTTTAAAGAAATTTGTTCCAAAACACCAATTAATTAGAGCAGGATTAGATAAGAAGACCAAAGCACCAAGAAAAGCTAGAAAGGAACATAAGAAGAAATGGAGAATGTGCCATTCATTCAAAGATTATAAGAAGAAAGAAATGAAGAAAGCATCTAGAAAGAAGAAGTAAAGAAAATAAGGATGATGTATCTCTCTTTAATGGTTTTTTTTTGTTTTTAATAAAAAAAATTTTAACAAGAAAGAAGAAAGAAGAAAGTATATAAATATAAAGAATAATATTTTTAGAAAAGACAAAAAGAGAATGAGGATTTGATAACTCATCTAGAAACAAAATTAATCATATAATGACAACACAAGCCATCAGAGGAATTGTTTTATTAGTTAAAGATTCAATTGATAAAACTGCACAAATATTGTATTCTACAGAAGAATTAAGTAGTGAAGAAGAAACATTCATTATAACAACATCATTTCCTGATATGATAACAAAACATCCAGATTATGTTTATTTTAATTATAAAACATCATTTTATGTATCAGTAATTTTTAATGGACGTAATGAATGGGAACATAAAACACTCTCATTAGTTGGAATATGTACAGTTCCATTTTTACATCAAATTAGACATATTTTATTAACACTAGTACAGGCATATCAAGTACAAACAAAAATGATTAATGAAGAATTATTAAAAAGTTTTATTCCATTAGGAAATGTAGCTTTCCAACCAATTTATACATCAGCACCTACAGCACATGCACTTATTAATAGACTTGATATTAATATTATTTCATTGATTAAATTATTTTTATTAGACTATCGAGTTTTGATTATTGCATCAAAAGAACAAGTGGCAGTATCTAGTGAAACAATCTTATTTTTGTTAAGTCTTGTTCCAGGAGTTTTCTTTGGGAAACCAGAAAATATAGAAATAGAAAAATTACAATTACCATTATCACTAAATTCAGAAGAACGACCAGTTTATATGCATTTAACAATGGATAATTTTTATAGAATAGGGGAGAGTAATGGAATTATTGCATGTGTTAGTTCACCATTAGTACTTCAGAAGTCAGAAGATTATGATGTTGTAGTTGATTTATCAACAGGAAAGTTTATTTATCGAGAGAATAGTATTAGTAAAAGTGTTGAAGTAACTAAAACAGATAAAGTTTTTATTTTTAATGTTAAACAAGCTATTACCAAATATAATCATGGAAATGGAAAAGGAAATGAAGGAAGTAATGAATGGGTATTTGGGGAAATGACAAATTATGTTCTTTCATTATTAAATGGACTTGCTCGAAATAAAGAGATGTTCAATGGAAAACCATTCAAGATAACAGGAGAATTAGAAGAAGTTGGTGTTGATTATGGAAGAAATTTTGTCAATAGATTTATAAGAACCAATCCATTTAAAGAGTGGCAAACTAAAATGGAAGCTAGTGGATGTATTAATAAGTCATATGAAAGAGTCCATCCTACATTTTCAGGTACTATTGGAAGTAATTCACAAGATATGATTAAAGTTTATTTAAATAATGAATTCATTATTAATGGAAGTATTGCACTAAGTAATTTCAATGAACGATTAGGAGAATGGAAACGAAAAAGAAATGAAGGAAAAGTAAATGAAAAGAAGGAAGAAATAGTACAAGAAAAAATACCAACTAAAAAGACTAACGAATCTTCAAAGAAAGAAGATAAAATAAAAACTTCTCAAAAGGAAGAAGAGATCAAAGAAAATTTAGATACAGAACATCAAGAAAAGGATGATACAAAAAAACAAGAAGATGAAAAAAGTTTTGTTGATGTTGATCAACCAATAGATTTCTTTTTCTCTTAAGAGATGAAACAAACAATGAATCTATTACATTGTTTTAATAATTTGGTTACTAACCACATTAATAATGATAATTTGTTTTAACTCTAATAAAATAAAAGGAATATAACTTATCATATTATTTTTTAAATAAATTCAAAGTCTAAAACTATTGACAAATATTAGTTGTGATAATTTTTTATTTAAGTCAAAGAATAATGAGAAGATATAAAACATAATAATCAGTACCCAAAAACTTTTTTTATAATTTAATAAAGAATAAAGTTTTATTATAATAAGTTGACTGATAGTATGTAATTTAGTTGTACTTATTATATTTTGTTTTGAAGTGGATAAACATACAATATTATTATTATAATCAGTTATCAAGATTATTAGAAAAATCTAATTTTATTGTTCCAAACATAAGGATTGTTTAATCTGGACAATTCTATAAGTCAACATCATTCTACAAAGAACTAATTTTATTTTAATTGGTATTTCTCACTATGGCAGAGAGTTTTAAAAATTAAAGTGATTGAAAACAGAAGAAGCTTTAATCTCTTCTGATTATTGTGGTTATTTATATATCTAATTTAAAAGGATAATAATTGTTTTGATAATGAAATATTAACAATATCACTTAGTTTCCATCTTTAAATTATACCACACCACTCTTGTTAAAAACAATATCAATGTTTTATTCTATAAATTCAAATAAACAACCCAATATCTTTAGCAATAATTAGACTTTAATTTGTATTAATAAAAAATTAATTTTATTGTTAATGTCAAAGTGATTAAAATGATAATTTCAAACTATGTTTAATAGACCATTGATAGAAACAACTAATATTGTTATGTTTTGTGAAAAAGATGAATGACATTGATATCATTTCATTTATGTTTTAATTCTTACTTCTATCTAATCTTATAAAAAAATAATTTCATTCAGTATTTTAATATTCAAATAGTAAACCAATAACATAATATGAATTAGATTTCGATCGTTGAAAGACTTGATTGGATTGATGGAAGAAGAGAGTATATAAGTCCAATATTAGATAAAGGCCGTAATGAAATAAATACTTTAATTTTTCCACAAGTCAATATCATAATTGTTTTATCATCCATCACAATTGTAGAACAACTGTGTTTTCCTCTCCCAAACTTTGAGACATTATCATATATTTCTTCTTCTTTTAAATACTTCAAATTATCGTTTGTTTGTTGTTCATTGCTTGTTGCAATTTCAACCTTATTGAGGTCATACATCGCTACTTCAATTGAACCAGGAATTCGTTGTTTTAATTCATTACAAAAAGTGGTTAAATCCATTTAATTCAGTCTTTGTAATTTAATAGTTCTTTTTTAATTTTCTGGTGGTTTCATTCGATCAGTTATGTATAAGTAAAATTTAATAGTTGTGTTATTATTAAAGAAGTGTTATTTAAGACTAAATCAACTATTAGTAACTCTCAAGTTTTAATAAAGATAAATGAAGGTAAAGAGAAGGAAACTAAAGGTATCTCTGGGGATGATTTAATAATATTGAATAGAATATAACTTTAAAGAAGAATTAAAGAATTGGCAAATCAAGTTATTATAAAAATCATTAAAAACTATAGTATAAACTATAATAAAAAATAAAAAAAATAAAAAAAATAAAAACAACAAAAAAAGTAATTTGGTTAAAAATATGGAAACTACAAGTTCATTTGATGAACATATTTTTCTTGAAACTTATTATCAAGCCTCTGGGTGTTCAAGTAAAATAAGCGAACACGCAACAAGGATTAGATTATTATTAAATGAATTAAATAAACAAATGTCTGTTTATGGACAAACAAGTCATCAAATCAAAGAATTACAAAATGAATATCAATTTGTTCACGGCAAGATTGATGGAACTATTCCAGTTGACGAGGTATTAAGTAATCCGAAATATAACCAACTTGTTGATGGGTTGAAAGTGACTCAAGAAGATGTTGTTGAATTTCATAATGATATTATTGATGATGAAAATTGGAATAAACTGGATAAATTAATTCAAAATGTTCATGACACACCACAACACCCAAAACAAGTAGTACTAAATTTTAATTTAATGAATGATTATTGTCAAAAAGATGAAGTTCAAATTCGTTTGTTTTCTATTAATTCTTTTTGTAATAAAAAGAGAGTTTAACATAACTAAAATATAGTGAAAGATAGAATCCAAGAATTGGAAACAGAAAATAAATATCTTAAAGATCAATTACACGAAATTAAAGATGCTTATAACAGAGCTCAACAAAGTCGTCATAACAAATCTCCATTTTATGATCAAGTTCAACAACCATCTCAGAATATATAAAGGTTCTTATTTAAAATAGCATTGATATTAACACTCTCATTCTTAATTAATGACTTCTTAAGAGACTTGTTTTTCTTTTGTTGTTAATTTCACAAAATATACATAACAATTAGTTATTTTGCAAAGTATTAGCTTATTATATTTTAGTACTTAATAATTAACGAAAATATTAAAATTATATGATGTTTGTTCTTTTTAAATTATCTGAAAGGAATAAAAATTATAAAGTTATTAATTTTTATTATCTTTTCTATATTTAAAATAACTTTTTAGTTAGTGTATTGAAATTAAAAATTATGAAAAACATATACATTATTATTTACTTGCATTACCTATCAAACTTAACTCAAAACAATAATAATTTATTTTTCTAAAGAAAAGAAGTTATTTAATTCTTTAAGTTATTGAAATTTAAATAAGTAATTATTGATGTTTGGTATTTAATTCATTTTAGAGATTAAATTTTATAATTCACTTTTATTTAAAAACAATAAATTGTGAGTCTTTGATAAACATATTAAAATTCATGATATTTTTATCAAAAATTTTTTGATAAAACTCATTATAATAAAATAAAGTTAAAGAAATATTAACTAGAAAAAATTACAACTAGTTCTTGTATTCGTAAAAAGGTTTAAAGTAAAATGACCATCAAACAAGTTCATTGCAATGTATTTGAAATGATTAATTTTAAATAATTTATCAAACGGAATGAGAGTATTTAGATAGCCAAAAAAAAATGAATTGTTACCAATAAATTAGGTGGTACTTCATTTTTATGGTATTTAAAAGGTTATTATAGTTTTACTTTATATATGGAAAATATACTTTTTATTGACTTGTGAATAAAAATAAGATAGTGGATACTGTAATGAAGTAATTTAAATATTATTAAGAAATAGTTTTGAAATTGGTCAAAAGTAGATTGGTTTTGATCTTTTTAATATTGTAATTGGTATTTATTGTAGAATATTAAATTACTCTTATTTCTAGTGATGTTTTAATTTGATTAATTTCTCTTAATTAACATTATTACAGTGTGTTATGTTCATTATAATATCTTTTTTCTCAAATTTCATTTCTTTATGATTAATTAATATTATCATTTTCAATTTGATTTGATTTGTATTACAATTGTTCTCTCTTTTATGGTTTTCTATTTATAAGAAAGAAATAGATTTAATTATTAAGATAATAACTATATTATTAATATTAATTATATTTGTAATATCTACTTCAACATTTCTTCAATGACTATATTTTGTTTGATATTTCAAATACCTTTTTAAATTAATTGAAATTATATCATTAATGGTAATATATTGATTTTTATGATATGACTAATTGATGTATCCCATTTAAATTGGCAATTAAGACTTCTTTTAATTATTGTAGAAATACAACAACTATTCCAATCTAAACACTTACTATGATATAACATCGTTATATAGTATTTATTTATCAGAGACGATTTGAAATTAAATATCACTCAATTTAAAGCAGAAGTTAAATGAGAATTCTTATAACATTAAGTATTAAATGAATAAGAAAAAAGTTATAATAATTTGACTAGGTATTGGTAACATTCATTCATAAAATGATAAATAATAATATCTCTCATTTATTCAAATGATAAAGGAGATAATAATTTAATACATTTTAATCTTTTAAAATACTTAAGACACTTTTAAAAATGAATTGGTTAAAAATATTAACTTATTTTATAATGAAATATTCATTATTAAAATTAAAGTTCATGAGTTGGAGTAGTTATGAGTTATGAAAAGACAAGATAGCAGGATGTATAAAATGAATTATTTAATATTAGAAATGAATCACTTGGATAATGATATCATAAATATTGACTTCATTAAATTAATCTTAAAATACTTTCAAATAAATAGTTAGAGTATATAAAAATATAGAATTATCTGTCATCTTATTTTTTAGGGCCGCCTCATTTTTTGGTTATTTGAAATTAACAACTTTAAATAATTCTAAAATTATTTATTCTTCAATAAATATAAGTAAAATATAAATTCAGTTAAAATAAGAATATTTTGCACCAAAAATTAATTCCATATTTTTACTCAGTAAAAATATAACATATAAATATTATTTTTAACATTGACAAATATAATAAATGAAATTAGTCTAACTCTTCTCTATATTTTTATAAATAGTTTTTAAAATAGAATACAATTGTAGTCTTGTTTGCAAAACTTTTCTCCGATTTCATTGTTGATTATACTAATTATTTTATGTTATATATCACATAAAAAAAGGAGGTAATATTTATTTAACAAATATAAATCAATATATGTTACATATAAAAAGATAAAAAATTATCAATAAATAAAGTATTTTATAATTTTGTAGAAAGTTATGAAATACTTTATTCAAAATATGTTTTTGTGACACTAGTTTTTCTCTTTTTTAATTTGTTTGTGTTTCATGGTAAATCAGATCTATTTCTTCAAGACAAGAATACCATTAAAATTATATAGAAATAATAAATATCCACCAAGAAATAGATTTAGAAGATATTATCAATGTTATAAATATAATCATTATCAACAAATAATAGTCATAATCACTTTAATAATAATTATCATATTTATAAATACCATAGTACATTCTCAAATAATCACAATTATAATAAAAAGAAAAGAAATTATTATAACCACGAATACCATAACGTAGGTAAAATGTTTAATCAATATTATTATGAGAATAAATAATGTAAAAGATATAGAAATAAAAGATATTACAAGAAAAGACAATGAAGAAAATACAAAAGAAAAAGAAAAGAAGAAATAATACAAGAATGAATGAAAAGATTTGAAAAGATAAAAAAGATAGTGAAAGAGAAATTATGTAAGAAAGA